TCAACCTTCCTAATGCTGCAACCCTTTAATACAGTTCCTCATGTTGTGGTGACCCTCCAACCATAAAATTATTATTTTTTTTACATTCCCCCTATAAAATTATTTCTGTTGCTACTTCATAACTGTCATTTTGCTACTGTTATGAATCGGGCGACCCCTGTGAAAGGCTGACACCATTGGACGTGCACTCCTCTAGGCACCTCTACTTTGGGGTGAGCGGACTGTGGGAAGCAATGGTGGGAGCAAAGAGTAGCTAAGGGACTGTCGTAATCATCGAAGTGAGAGACTTGGCACAGGTTGAGAATAGCTGAGATGATACCAAGTGGCCAATCAGGAAGATTTGCTAATTTACATGGTGCAAGATGTGATCAAGGAAATCAAACATTACTCTCAGGGAAGTGAAGAGATAAATTTGTCATTAAATGAAGTAAGGCAGTTAAGAAAGGAAGGGGTATGGGTTTGTATTTCAAAGCACTGGGTTTAAGATGCCAGTGAGCCATCCAGTGGAGAAAATGCCAAGCAAGTGAACATTCAGTCCAGGGAGGCAGGTCTGGACTGGTCTCTGGCACATAGATGGTACCTAAACCCACGGGGCTGGATGAAAGCCCTCATCTTCATGGTCACACAGAACGGTTATCACGCTACCTCTCCTTACCTCACCCAGTGGACAGGGAAGAACTGCAGACTTACACCTTTTCTTTCTTTTTGGGTCACCTTTTCAGTAACAGCATTTGATGTGTGTAAGAAAGCGAATCAGGGGAAGGTCGGGGGGTAGAAGGGGAGACACGGGAAACCGATCACAATGATCAAGGTATAACACCCTGTGGGTAGGGAGACAAACAACAGAAACATAGGTGAAGGGAGACAGTGGATGGTGTAAGATATCAAAATAATAATAATTTATAATTTATCAAGGGTTCATGAGGGTGGGAGGGGAAAAAGAGGAGCTGATACCAAGGGCTCAAGTAGAAAGAAAATGTCGTGAAAATGATCAACATATGTACAAATGTGCTTGATGCAATGGATGTATGGATTGTTATGAGTCCCCAATAAAATGATTTATAAAGAAAAAGGAGAATCAGTTATTGTCAATATTCAAGTGAAGGATACAAACACCCTCACCTTTACTGAAATATCCTGATATGTCTACAGAAAAGGGGGACCATGTCACACAGAAAAGACTCTCAAATGTTCATGGAATCCAGATGTCCTAGATTAAGGCTGGATGAACCCCCAAAAGCAATTTCTCCCGTTAATCTTTAGATCTTAAATTTATGCCAAAGAGAGAGGTCACAGCCTTGCAACCCTCCAATCTCCTCCCCCATCAGATCTAAACCCAGGTCTGAGTGGTTACAAAAGGAGGGAAAGTAACATTGAAACTGACTTCAGTGCTTTTGTAGCACATGGGCTAGTTTTAGTTTTTTTAAAACCACTTAGATTAAATAATAAAATATTGAATTGCATACACAAAAAGATGAGGGCTGAATGAGCAACTAGCAGTCACAAGTGAACTTGACAGTTTCACTGAAATGAGGATCAGACTTACTAGAGTGGATTAAAGAGAATGCAAAGAGAGGAATGGAGCCATTGAGCACATCTTCTTTGGTGGGAGAAGGGAATCGGGATTTGCTGCCAAAGGGACTGGAGAAATTGTGAAAGATACCGGGGAAAACACAGCCGATGTGTACGCTCTTGTTGGGATGATCCACCGGAGGTAACGTGACAGAAGCAGCAAGGGTAATATAGGAGAGACTGAATGATGTTCCTAAGTTAATGTGAACTGGAGCACAAGTGGAGGGAGTTGTTCTACAAAGAAACGCAGTTCATCCAAGTGCATTTATTCTCAAACTCTGGGGTGCAACAGGATCATTGGGAGAACTTGTTAAGACATCGATGGTTGGGCCCCACACCCAGTATATTTGGTTCAGATCTGGAGTACGGCCTGCTACTGTGCATCTCTGACAAGTCCCCAGGTGGTGATGCGGCTGATCCCAACGGCACCTGGAGAAACATTGGCCTGTAACAACAGGGAGAGAGGCAGCATCTGAATGAGTAGATGTGGGGAAAGGAGTGTGAACTGTCATCTTGATTGCTCTTAGTCAAGTAGGAAGCAAGGTCATTAGCTTACGAGTTAAAATGGGACAAGAGCTGTTCAGGTTTGAGGAGAAAGGTGAAGGAATGAAAGGGTGGTCTCAGGGAGAAAGAGTGACTAGCTCTGGGAGATGTTAATGGTGTCCCTCAGGAGGCTGATCATAAATTTAAGATGAGGGGCTCGTTGAATATTGTTGATTGTTGGAAAAGATGAGGGGCTACAGCCTCACCTTCATTTTCCATGAATTTTTTGAAGCCTCCTTGACTATATAGATCCTAGAGCTACAGCTATATCTCCCAGAGCTACAGGTTGCTGAAGCATGGGATTTGAGGACTGTGCTTTGTCGAGAGCCCTGGTGGTACAGTGGTTAAAGTGCTAGGCCAATAACCCAAAGGTTGGTGGTTTCAACCCAGTCCTTGGGAGAAAAGAGCTGGCAAGCTGTTTCTGTAAAGATGTAAAGCTATGAGGCAATTCTATAATCCTGTGGGGGTCCTTAGGACTCAGAGACGACTGGAGTGAGTTTGGTTTGGGACAGTTTCTCAATGAAGTTTGATGAAGCAAGATACCAAGGCAAGGGAGTCGACAGTGCATATATACTGGGGGGAGAGGCAGTGTGATGATTCATGGAATTGAAGCTGAGTAAGGACTGTCTAAGGTATGATGATGAAAAAAGGTGAAATGCTTTTCTCAAAAATGGCTGCTCTCCAACATAAATACATGACACATGTGGGGAAGCTTCATTTGGCAAGTGTTGGGATATATATAGTCAAGGAGGCTTCAAAAAATTCATGGAAAATGAAGGTGAGGCTGTAGCCCCTCATCTTTTCCAACAATCAACAATATTGGGGGGAAACTTACTCCAGCAGGCATTCTCTTCTGAGTCATCTTCAATTTGTGTTCCTCTCTCACTCCTCCGGCTTGTTAAAAGGACTCCCTTCCAGCTTCATACTCTACTCTTGAGTTAATTCTCTCTCCACCACTGTTAGCAGAGGCTTTTAGTTCTAACGCTGTGGAAGACGATGAAGAGCCAAGGATCTTGTGTGGCTCCCACTGAGAGCAGGACAAAATTATAGAGGAAAATCCAGCATAAAACAAGGATAGCCAGCTAGGGAGAGGCCCTTCATCTGTTCTTAAAGCCACCTGTGCTACCTCAGAAGTTTACTTCCCCCAGTGTCCAGCAGTCGCACCAAGCGGGATTCATAACCCTTTCCGAATAGACAGGGGAGGAAGCTGGATGTGTGCACTTACGTGCAAAACTAGACCAAGAAAAAAAATGAGTTTCCTTGGGGAGCTGACCTAAATAACTAAACCTTTAGCCAAGTTCGAGCATTAAAAATAAAAAAGAGGTAAAAGCAATAAGCTACGCAAGCCAAGCATGATACTATCATCTACGCATTGCCACCCCTGTGGCACGAGGTGCCAATCTCTGATGACTCATCTCACCTGAGCAGGTAAATAATTTGCACTGAGGAAAAGACACTACGCAGGTGCAAGAGCTATTGCGGGCACCATCTTGGGATCTTTTCACGGTAAAATAGCTAAATTAGGGGAGAGGAAAGCACACAGTAAGGAGAGAGCAAGCAGGGTAGCCCCCTAGATTGCGACGTGCTGGAGCTGGCAGGGAACGCAAGAGTCTGACTGGAAGCCACCAGTCCGGTGACCAGCCACGTGACCAGAGGCACCGCGCACGCGCATTCAAGGCCAGCTATGGAGCGGAGCCAGGGCCTGGGAGGGATGAAGATGATCCCATCTCACAGCCCCCGGCTGGACCCTCTAGGTCAGCTGTTCTCTACCTTCCTCATGTGGTGGTGACCCCCAACCATAAAATTATTATTTTTTTCCTTCAAATAATTATCTTTGTTGCTGCATCACTGTAATTTTGCTGTTATGAATCGTGAGGTTAATATCTGATATGCAGGATGTATTTTCATTGTTACATCATGAAAGCATGATTAATCACAAAACAATATGTAACTATATAGTTAAATATTTATTTCTAATAACAAATAAATGAAATTTTGTCTTGAAGCATGGTGCAGCATGGGTAAGTCTTCACGCCCAGTTCTCCTTTGTGGGCAAACCCGCCTGGAGACGGATAGAGGAGCCACCTCGGTTCCTAAGATCATCAGAAATGTTTTCCGATGGTCTTAGGCAGGGGACCCCTTTGAAAGGGTCATTCGATCTCCAAAGGGGTTGTGACCCACAAGTTGAGGACCGCTGCTCTGGGCAGAGCACTGAAGGCTTGATTCCTGTGGTAGCAGTTCGGCTGTGTGGCTTTGCCCAATACACTTAAATTAACCTCGTGGTGGGCGTTATCCCGCAGCCATGTCAGCAAGCCCATAGCTGCATTGTTGCCCGGAGGTTGGCTGGAGTTCCTGAGACACCATCTGTGCAAAGAACTGCTCCACAGGGCTCTCAAGTGTTCAGAATGCCTTCGCTGGGTCCAAACCACCAACTTTGAGGGTAATACTGGAAGACAACCATTTGTACCAAGTAATATAATCCAAAGGTTTCTCATGTGGTAAGGAGTTTCACTGAGCTGCCCAGAAACCACAGTGGATGAATCAGTCTTAAGTGACCCAGCTTTTCCAATGCAGAAAAATCCTGACAGTAAACAATGCACTCTGAAACCTAGGGATACTCATATGCCAACCCCATTTTCAGAATGAAAGGTTCTACATTCACACATACTTCTCATAACAAAGGTCAACACCATTGGCAGTAACTAAATGCTGATACTTGCACAGGAAAAATGGAATGCTCCAGAACGAATTCATTTATTTTCTCATTGGTAGGGGTGGGGAACCCCAAACACCCTTGAACCTCTATAATAATTCAGGTAAGGTAGGAACTAGAACTTCCAACACGTGGGGTCTTATTTGCAAGGCAGGAGTCCTGGCGGCGCAATGGCTAATGCAGGTCAGGTTGGTGATTTGTACTAACTAGCTACTCCAGGGAAGAAAAATGCGTTAGCTAGCTTCAGTAGATTCTCTCACAGAACCCTATAGGACAGGGTAAAACTGTAACTCTAAATACAGGAATAGAAACCAAACCAACCAAACTTACTTGCCACTGAGTTGATGCCAACTCCTAACAACCCTATGGGGCAGGATAGATCTGCCCCATGTTGGTTTCAAAGGCCCTCACTGCCTCAGCTTTCTCCCCTGGAGCAGCTGGTGGACTGGAACTCCTACTGGCTTTGTGATTAGCAGCTCAACGTGCAACCACATAGACACCAGTGCTCCTGATATAGATGACAAGCATGAAAACCAAGGCAAGTTTGATTGTCCTATAGGTTGAGAGGAAATTCTTCATTTACAGTTAGGGATGGGAAGAAAAGGGTATAAATGCAACACAAAGGCACTGCACCTCACTCAAGGGGTACCCCCCCAGGGGGCTGCGGGGGGGGGGGGGGGGCTGGATTTGCAAAACCAAGTATCTATACTTTATCCTGGATTATAGGCTGTAGTACAGAGGGGTTTTTTTTGTATTTGTTTTCTAAGTACAGAAGTTTTAAATTGCCAGTTGGGTGTCATTTTTTTTCCCTGAAAAGGGGCAGTAGGCCAAATAAATTTATGAACCTATGTTCTAGAATTATGACAAATGAAAGCCATCTGGAAAGCTCCACATTCCTGCCTATTTAGTACCATAAAGAGGAAGGCATGAAATAATTTTAATTTTCTCACCTGTACCCTTAATTTAAAAAAACAATATGCTGCTAAAATTTTAACAATAATTTTTGGTTTGTTTAAAATCAAGTGATGATTTTTAAGTATTTTCCAGTAAAAGTTCCTTGGACCCCAATCCCAACTACATGGGCAGCCCCCCCACCCCACCCCTACCCTGCAGAATTCACCTCAGAGGACAGCACTGCAGCTACAGCTCAGGGAGAGGGACATGTATGATCAGAGCACACAGGAGCAAATGAAAGGGGAGGAGGAGAGAGTGGAACACATCCTGGTCCACCAAGCCCTGAGGATGATATCCCTGCTTAGAGCAGCAAAAGCACAGAAAGGACGGTAGGGCTGGCTCCACTGCAAGACATGACGTCCCTCACTGACCCAAAGCGCTATAGGGGACAACACTGGAGACAGTGCAAGAATTGCACCCAATCTGACCCCACCACATTGAGGCGAATCACTATGGGTGTGCAACAAAACAGCAAGGGTAACAGAACAAAGTCCCCAGAGAATACCAAAAATAGACTTAGGGGCCAGGGCAAGACACCGCCTCACTCAACCAGAAAACACTCGTAAAGGTCATCAAATAGACCTTGAACTATTTACAGGTTTGTGTTTTTTTGTCATTCTTTTGTTGCTGTTTTGCCGTCTT